GGGAAAATTTACCTTGACTTGCGACCAACTCGACTTGCGATCAGAGTCACAGAACGGATTACGTTCATAAGTAGAGGTACCACTGTATAATACAACCTTTTAATCAGATTTTAAGAAGTTTTACCAGACAGCAAAAGTGAGACAGAAGAGGCAGTCATTGTGTCATATCTTATCTGGTTTTTATGGATACATTTTTGTATATCTCACATGGCATATAATAATAATTTAATAATAATAATTTATTAAATGTATATGCGGCCTGACTCCCAGCAACTCTGGACAGTTTAAAATTGTTTAAAACGTTAAAAAAAAGAAACAAAAAGAAGGGTAAAGATGCCAGGATGATAAACAGGTAAAGATAAAGGTAAAGATAAATTATAATTAAAACAAAGTCACATGAGGCCCAAAGAATTTAATAAATGAAAAAGAGAGATTTATGTTTTCCTCAATTATAAACCCATGGATAATATAGTAATAGTAAAACATTTAAATAAAGTGAGAATATTGCATAAGGTTTGGGAAAAACATATATGGTTGTGAGAATAGAATTGGGACTATAGTGAATAGCCTGTTCAAATTAGTATCAACACCCAAAAAGTATAAGTGACTGAAAATTATCAATATTTTTGGTGGGGGAGTATTGCAAATAACCATTAAGGATATTGCAGAATTGTTCATGGGGCTGTCTGGATGCTTGACTGAAATATTTAGGTTGGTACAAAATAAGGTAGCTAAAATACCAAATGGAATTGAGTGTTATCATCATAATGACAGTACATATTTTATTTATTGGTTCCCAATTTTCTTCCAGTTCCATTATGTTACTCTATGTGGAAGAACATCTCTGCCATATATTCCTGTCTGAGTCCTGAGACCATAACCTAAGGCCCTACTCCAAATGTATCAGGTGCCAACTCAGGGGTGGGTCATTTGAAGTAGGTGCTCAAGATAAGGAATACTATTTCCAGAAATGTCCATGTAGCACCTGTTCACTTACTGTTTCAACCTAGAGCTTTTTAATTTCCTGGTACTTCATCTGATATGTAGTGCTTTTAATTAGTCTGTTTCAATGGTATTCTAATTGTTGCTTCTTTAAACTGTAATTTTAATTGTTGATTTTTAAAATTATTTTATTTGTGTTTTTATGATATACTGTACTGAAAGCTTTCAATAGCTTGACTAAAACATTTTTAGAATTATTAACAAAGGAGGCTGTATATTTGCACTGCTCAAATAATAGATTTCTATTGTGTTTCAGTCTGTGGAGGAAAAATAAAGGGCCTGGTTTCAGAAGATTATGTCCGAAGATTCAAATAAGGACAAGCAGTACATAGAACAATTAACCAGTGATAATTACAACTCAGTATGTTTAGCCTTCAGTTTTATCTATTCTTCTAACATTATTATTTATTTACTTATTTACTAGGCTTGTATGCACTTCAATCATAGCTGATTCTGAGGACCTATGTAGTCTCTTTATTTGTTAAAGGGAATATAGATTTCCTATTTGTATATTTCCTCATATACATTTAAATTGTATTTGCATAGGCAGTAGATACTATACCAATTATTTAAATTATACACTATGAACTTTGTTGCATTATCTGTGTGGTACTTTTACCACATTACATTTATTTTACATCCAATTTAAAAAAAAATAATTGTGCAGTTTATAAAAACCAAACCTGCTAATCCCTATAATTTATCGCCTTTTACAGAAATGTATTTCATGGAAACTATTAAAGAATATTTGCATTAATTCTCCTATCCAAATGTCACATATCCAGACACAGGATATTTTTCCTTGAATAGTTAACATATTTCCTTGTGCTTAATAGCTTTAGTAGAAAATAAGATCTATACATATTTACTTCTTTATTACCATCATTTTTATGCTGCCTCTATCTAAGACTGAAGGCAGCTCATGATCTACTAGAAACAATGAAATAATAAAGCAATGATTCAAGAATTAAAATAAAAACTTTAAAAAATATACCTCAGCCATTCCTTATGAGACTAGACCTGGGTAATTGTTTGGAGTCCTGTGTCCCAAATGCTATACAAAAAGGATCATCTTTATAGCCCCATCAGTAGGTCCTAATGTCAATAGCCTTCTTCAGCTCAAGTGGTAAGATGTTGCAGGGTGAAGGAGCTGGGACTGAGAAGGCCTGCCTCCAGACCTTGAACCCCCTAACATTAAGGAGGTAGCCACAACATGCCCTCTCAGCCTGTTTGTACCTGATGGGCAAATTCTGCTTGGTGTAGAAGGTCTCAAATATAGTACTTCAGATGCAAAAACCTTAATTCATAGTAATCTTGCTGTACCAAATAATGTCAGATGTATTGAATTACAGTTCCCACCTCTCCTTCAGATGTTTAGACTACAGTGATAGGTGTTGTAGTCTGTTGTATACAACTAAAAGGTATGAATTGTTTGTCTTAAGTATTGTTCTCTGCTTTGATCTCCAACAATCCCTGCTGTGCTCTTTACTAAAAGTACATTGGGATTAACCTGTATTTATTTATTCATTTAGGAGACTCATATGGCTACCTTATGCGTGATAATCCTAGGCAGCTCACAATGACATTCAATAAAAACAGAATAAATATGACCAACAGAGCCCCACAACAAATGTATATACCGCAACATCCCACCAGCTCTACATTTACATTTAGATTTGCTGGTCTCACTTCCATCCTAGCCCAATGCTTGGGTGAAGAATCAAGTCTTCACAGCCTCCAGAAGGCTAATAGGGTGGGGGCCCTCTGAATCTCAAAAGGGAGACTTTTCCAAAGGGTTGCAGCAATCAGTGGACAGGGTCCTTGGAGCTGTGAGCTCAGCCACCTGCTCTTTAGATCCATGCCCCTCCTGGCTTGTGAAAGCAGCCCGGGGGGTGTCATACGAGTGGATTCCAGCGATGGTTAATGCATCTTTGAGTGAGGTGGTTGTTCCCTCACCTCTTAAGGAGGCCTTGGTTTGTCCCCTCCTCAAGAGGCCATTGCTAAATCCTACTATACTGGACAATTTTCATCCAGTATCTAACCTCCCCTTTTTGGGGAAGGTGATTAAGAAGGTGGTTGTGCAACAGCTTCAGAGGACCTTGGATGAAGCAAATTATCTAGATCCCTTTCAGTCAGGATTCAGGCCTGGGTATGGGACGAAAGCAGCATTGGTTGGGTTTTTGGATGATCTCTGGCAAGGGCGGGATGGGGGTTGCGCATCCATCCTTGCCCTACTTGACCTCTCAGTGGCTTTCAATACCATCAACCATGGTATCCTTCTGGATTGGCTCAGAGGATTGAGGGTGGGTGGCACTGTGTTGTGCTGGTTCACCTCCTTCCTCCAGGGCCTATTCCAGTCAGTGGTGGCTGGGGAGGAGAGATCCTGCCCTCGGCCCCTGTTATGTGGGGTGCCACAGAGTTCAGTGCTCTCCCCCTCCTATTTAACATCTACATGAGGCCGCTGGGTGAGCTCATCCGTTGCCATGGGGTGAGGTATCATTGGTATGCTGATGATACCCAATTATACATCACTGCCCCTGGCAAATTAAGTGATGCTGTGAATGTCTTATCCCGGTGTCTGGGGGCTGTGAGGGTCTGGATGGGGAACAACAGGCTTCAACTGAATCCTGGCAAGACTGAGTGGCTGTGGGTTCTGGGGCCATCTGGTGCTATAGTTATGTCATCTTTGGTACTCAATGGGGTTGCACTGCCTGAGACAGACCCTGTGCGCAATCTGGGGGTCGTCCCGGACTCATGACTCCTGCTTGAATAGCAGGTGGCAGTTGTGGCTAGGAGGGCCTTTGCACAGCTTCTTGTTATGCACCAGTCGTGCCCATTCCTAGATCAGAGGGACCTAATCACTGTCATTCATGCCCTGGTCACCTCCAGTTTGGATTTCTGTAATGCACTCTACATGGGGCTGCCCTTGAAGAGTATCTGGAAGCTTCAACTGGTGCAAAATGCAGCGGCGTGGGCAGTTATGTGTGCCCCTAGAGTGATACATGTTACACCTCTGCATTGCGAGCTGCACTGGTTGCCAGTTTGCTTCTGGGTCCAATTCAAGTTGCTGGTTTTGACTTTTAAAGCCCTTAATGGCATGGGGCTGGTTTCCCTGGGGGACCGCCTCTCCCTGATTACATCTGCCTGTCCCATCA